GACGACCCCCCGAGTCCGAGTTTTTGACGCATCACCAAGTGGGCTGCTTTCGACGGAAAGGAAGTGTCAAAAATTAGAGTTTTTAAAGGCATTAAAAGGATATGTCTTCAAGAACTCTACTATTAATTTTGAAGTAATTTAAGTTAAGTTTAAAATAATGATGAGTAAAGTAATGATGGCCATTTTAATCATAAAAATCAGTAAATATATATAGGTCATTTGTTTCCATTATAATCACAATAAGAACAGGTCACTTGTTTGCATAAAGTAAAGTTAAAGAATTAATTTGTCACGAACATATAAGGTGTCAGTCCCTGAGAAGTAAGTATTGTAGCGTCGTATAGTGAAAACCTGAGATAGCCAAAACTGAAAAAATAGAGAAAGCTATTGGCAATTAAGTATTATAAAATATGAATTACAAACATAATTCATGATCACGCATTTATCACATGTACGATATTGTGGAAACTTGTATCAGTGATTTTAACAGAGGGCGTTGTACTGTTTGAGAAATCTGTATTACAAATTTCCAATGGGCACAAAAATACAAAGAAAACTGTGTAGCTTTCTGCTATGCGTGTACGTGTGTATGGTTTTGTTACATACCACAAAACTCGAAAAAAATTAAATCGTTTTGATTTTTACTGAAAAATGTAAATATATGATTGTGTTATTTCACCTACTTTCATATTGAGCTTACACACTAAATTCACGTACTCAGTTCGATATTGCTTACGACATATGACGTCATGTGACAGCATGGTTCCATGATAGAAGCCACCCACTATTTAATATTTTCAATTCACGAGTTGAAATAGCAACATTTTTATATATGTTATAATATGAAGAACTGTTGTAATAGTATTCTAAGTTATTGCTGTATTGAAGATTGGTTTGTTAAAATATTTAATTTATGTCAGTGTTGTAAGAGAGTATTATGTGCATTATTCTTGAGCCGTGTGCATATTACTTTTTGAAGGATATTTTAGTATAACTGCATTTTTGTTGCAGCAAGTGAATGTCATAAGGTTTTAATTAAGGGGAGAGAGTACCATGAAATGGATCAATCTATCGATTTTCGTTTTTTGGTAAAATAAATAATTCAAACCTTTTTTCCAAACACATCATTTTTTTCTAGGACGCCTGGAAGTCTTTTGAATTCTTATTTAAATGTCCTTGTGAGCACAAATCACGCCCCCCCTTTTTTCACACTGCAAACAAGTGTGGCTTTTTTTATTGTAATATTAAACGCATGTTGGGTGAAATATTGAAACATGCTTGTTTATACATTGGTAGCATTGGTCTTTTTCGCTATGCGCGAAAATCAAGAAAACTCTTCAGTAATGTTGTAGTAGATCAGTTGCAAATACAGCGTTTTTTCAAATGGTGTTTGCCAAAAATGTACTTAGTTTCTGATAAAAGGTACATTAATTACAAATAATCATTCACAATTTAATGCAATTTACAGGATACATTCTTAATAGTATTGGCAATATTTTTTTATATAAACATTCTTCAAGAATCAAAAATGTTTGGGCAAAAAAGCTGAAAAATTTTAAGGTAGAAGTTATAATTAAAAAAGATACTAATTTGTTTCAATTGTCTCAAAAAATATCGAAATAATAACAAAGGCAGTATTTTCAAGTGTGCAAAATACCAAAATTTTCTAGTTACTAATTTTCTAGAAAAGTTACATCAGTAGCAATAAATTTAACATAGGCAGTACTCTCTCCCTTTAATTGTCATTGTTTGAGCATATTTACGGAACCCACATTAGTCGAGGTACGATTTTTACACATATAATACTAACTCGTAAGACTTGTATTGGCTTCACATAACGAAAATAAATTGCATTAATTACACTGTATTAATATCACTAACCTCTGTAGACCAAATAATTCTTTTTATGTCAGTCCTACGGTTTGTATTAATCAAGGTACCTTGAATCAAACATTCCGAATCTTACATCCGACAACTCTATATACTCAGTTAATGGTGTCTCTGCGATATCATTTTAACCTGGAAAGGACCGTACCCCATTAAACCCAACCGTTTGTATCCATTTTCACGGAATATATTAGTACGGCGTGCGTCACCTCGCGTGGGATGAGGAGGGCTGCGGATAAGGTGTCTCTTTGCGCCTCCGCCATTGTGCGTCCGCTTTCCAATGCCACAGCGCCCGAGATATCCGCGGCGGCGGTGCTTTGGGTCGCGCAACCTGCGCCTCGCGAGATAACGCGGCGCTCCCCGCTGGCGCGCCCGATAGCGCCTGCGCAGAGGGAAGGAGTCCCCAGCGCCCCCCACCACACCCGCGCTCTCGCCCTTCCCGCCCCCCTCCGTCCCCGCTCCCACGCCTTCCCCTGCATAGCGTTGCCGTTCTTTCGATGATGCTCAACCATCCTCTCAAGTATCTCAAAGCCACGTTTTCCTGCTATCTGCCCTATTCCTGCTCACACTTTTCCTACTTCGATCATTTTAATCTCCTTTACATCCATAATTTGC